AGCAGTGTATCTTAGAATCATTTATGGGGGAGGTGCAACAATGGGATGCTTCCTCTTTGCCAGTTTTGTCAAAATTGGGCCTCTTTAAGAGGAGTGGACTCAACCTCCCAAAATCCCCCGGCCACAAGGGCTGGCTGGGGAATTCTGGGAGTTGAAGTCCACTCACCTTAAAGTGACCAAGTTTGGACAACACTGCTCTATGCCCACCTGGGGCCTCAGTAGGACCTGGTGGTAATTCCTTAGTGGGGTGGGGTGGGGAATCAATCATTTAGGACGTCTAAATCTCTTCCAAGGCTGGGAAGATGGGAAATGCAGCCACGCATTTCTGCAGCATTTTTTAGTTTCGCACGTTTCTTCGGCCAAATTGTGTCGGGCCTTTGCCTCTGAGATAACGGACTGATGGGAATCCGTAGCTGCCGCTCCGCTCTCGAATCAATATTACGCAGCATCTGTTTACAAGCGACGGCTGTAAAACCGAAAAGGCAGCTGTCCAAGGAATTGGGGGAAGCTGTCTCCATATTTAGACAAAATATATGGGATCGGGTGTGTGCTTAAATCGACGTGCAGTGCAACACTTACTTTTCCTCTCCACGACAGCCCTGCGAGGCAGGTTGGGCTGAGTCTTTTGGGGAGCTTCCAGGGCTGAGGGGGGACTAGAACTGGGGTCTCTCCACTCTTCGTCCAACATCTAAACCACAACGACCCTGTTTCTATTGAGTTAGAACTTCCATTCATCTAGCCCAGCCTTGGGCACATCTCCCCAAGCCATGATTTAACCACGCTCGAGTAAATAAATGATGGTGTGCTAGGTTTTAACCACAGGCTACACCGAAATCACATCAGCCACAGGAAGCGAATATGAGAGATGGGAAGAGCCTTGCAGGTGCACGCTCTCCAAAACCAGAGATTGCTCTCTTACACCAGCCAAGCGGAATGCACACTCATGGTGCTATATTAAGTCTGCTTCCAACAGTGCAGTTCCTCGCTCAGGACTCTGCGTACGGACGGAGACACTTTACATTTGTCATTCTGTCAGTCTGTTTAAAAGCTTTGTTGAATGGGTCAGTTTAGAAAGCCCTGAAATATCAACAAGAAGTCCATCACGATCCAGCCATTTCTGCACTCTAACTGTGAAAGGGTTGGGGTGGACAAGGAAGAACTGGGGTTGAACTTTTTCTGTCCCACAGATTCACAGATTAATTCTGGTTTAGTTTGTAATCCTGGCTGTCTTCCTTTAAACTCCTATTCACAGCTTTTCTTTCTTTCTTTCTTTCTTTCTTTCTTTCTTTCTTTCTTTCTTTCTTTCTTTCTTTCTTTCTTTCTTTCTTTCCTTCCTTCCTTCCTTCCTTCCTTCCTTTCTTCCTTCCTTCCTTTCTTTCTCTCTTTCCTTCCTTCCTTCCTTCCTTCCTTCCTTCCTTCCTTCCTTCCTTCCTTCCTT